TGTCTAACGATCAAGAGCTAACAAAACAGAGTGGAAGAGGAAAACTAGCACTGAGGTTGGATCTTTCTCCAGACAAGATTCAGTTTTAGTACGATGATGAGTATCCGAAGCTACCGGCTTTTCTCCCCATAAGTGAAAGCATCATCTCTCCAGCCGGAGTTTCAGTTCCATCAGACCATCCGTACTTCTCAAGCAGCTGATCCACAAAGTTACCAACAACGTAAGAAATCCCTGACACCGATACAGCAATCATCGTATAGTACAGAGCGCTCTTCAGGTAGCTGCCTCTTGGGGTTTTCGCGTGAGCTTTAGCTATGGCTAGCAAGACGATGCATAGAAGAGATGCCCCGAAAACTGATGCGACTTTGTAGTCTTTGGTGTGTTTATTGTAACTTTTGTTGAATGAGAAATAGTAGACCACAGGAGGGAGTAGTCCGACGATTATGAAGGATAAGATTGCGACTGATGCGTGAAGCGTGAAATTGTCTCTTCGTCCAAGGAGTCGCTTGTACCGACCTTCTTCTTGACCGTTGGTCTGGTTATTCTCTGTTGTCGTTCTTCTGGGTTCCTCATCTCTAAGTTCTTGGAGCTGCAAAAATAAGTTTCTCTATAAGTTTCTTGATATTGCAGGTTACGCGATTCAATACCCAGTTAATGCATCAAGAAGTTGCACATTGCGAAATATTAAGTGATCACTCACATTATGAATGATGAGAATAAGCCCACCCAGCAAGTTTGCAATCCCCAAGACCAAAATGTTCACTGCAACCACAATGATCATACGGGTGTTAGGATTTTCCAGCAACAAAATGTGTGTTTGTGTTTCACAATGGAAACGGAATGCTAAGGCTAAGTGATACTTACACATTGAAGCACCAGAACCAGCAGCAGATGAGATAACACCGAGGCTTGTGACGGATTCTATTAGACCTCCGTATACAATGCTTTTCAGTATTTCCAGTTTACGTCCTTCAACAACTGGTCCTTCAACAACTGGTCTCAATAATGGTTCCCCTAGAGTCTCTTCTTCCAGCGAACTCACTGGTGGAATATCAATTTCAGAACTTGATGGACCGGTGATGTCTCCTCTGGCACCTGTGTCCACCACACCTAAACAGAAGCAGAAAGCAAGGTATGAATGAGAATGACGCCATGATACATTAAGAAATAAAGGAGACAAAAGACCGATTAATTTTATATTTCATATTGAAGCTATGAATTTTATTTCCCCGCGGCATTATAAACAGAATTAAGATTACCTGTAACATTGGCCACACCATAATCTGGCTTTGTAGTGACAGAACTTTCTGTTTCTTCAAACGGATGAGTACCTTCTGCATGAAGTATAGTTTCTATTCTTATTCCATCCGGTCCAGAAGTCACGTTGTTTGATATATTCATGTGACGGGATGGTTCGATTGGGGTGAGACGTCCTGTGTCTGACGTGTTTTTTCCCTCTGCTGCACTAGCATCAACCTTGCTGACGTATTGCAGTTTTGGCTCCTCCGTCAAAGGAGGCGGAAACTTTTGCCCGTCTTCAATAGCCGCTCCATTGTTGACAACTTTGCTGGTATCAGGTGACTTTGCAACTGCCATCATATCAAGAAAAGAGTGATGGAGATTTTAGAAGTCAAACGCGAGACGCAAAAGCTTATATATTAGTAGAAGGATTGGCTATCACGTTTTATATTCATTAGAGTTGTTTCTCAACGCTCTCGCTTAAATATTCAACAACAAGACACGAACATGGGTTCCACTTTCTAAGAGTGATCAATTCTATGTACCTTGATCCAAAGGGGTGTCAACAGGCTCTTTATCTTGAGAATCACCGATCTCTGACCCAAGTGCACCACATAAGAATACTTAAGAACAAAGGGTACAATAGTAGCATGATATTTCTTATTTCCATTTTAAGAAACATTCAAGATCATCTACTTATTCCTTTCTCTTTTAATTAAAGATAATCTGAAGGAAAACTACCGTTTTTGCTTCATTTTTGTTAATGAGTAAGAGATGCATGTCCCTACCTTGAGTTGAATTGACTGCACCACCCTGAACAAAGGCTGGGGCTTTTGATGGAGTATTTGCAGTAGAGCCTGTCATATCCCCTCCCGGAAGGCTTAGGTTACCACGCGGCCGGTTAGCTTCCGGGACACTAGACGTTTCCCCAACTGGCAAAAAAAAAAAGAAATAAGTTTAATTCTAACGGTAAAATGATACAAACCCCCTCAGCATCATAGTTAATAAAGAAGGAGAGACATTGCAATTGTAATTCTACTAGACACCAAAGTATCCACTGACGTTGCAGTCTGGAATCACAGTTTTGAGGTAGTAAAAGAACAAAATGTCTTACACATGACCCGATTAATGAGACTGGCAAAGGAACCAAACAATACCTTGCAGAACATCTGGTTCTTTTTTCTTAAATCGAAATATTGACTTGAACCAGTTGGAATCGCCGGTAGCTTCTTCTAGAGGCCGCTGCTGAGTCATTAACCTCTCAACACTTTCACTGTGAGAAACCGGCTTTGAACCCAACCCTGCAAAAAAAATTCCAGAAAACGAAAGCACGGGTTGGATACAAAAAGGGATTGGATTTGAATATTTCAGTTTTTAAGGATCAAAGAAGTGTTTACAATCCAGTGTACCTGTGGGTATGAAT